TCGGCAGCGCAGGAGCAGAGGAGAAGACGCGATCCGTCCAGCTGGGAGTACAGCAGCGGCGGCATGCTCGCCCGGGGTAGCCGAGCTGACAACCGGCGTCAGCCCCGTACAACACACCCGCGTACGCTCAGGGCGGCGGCGGCCCACCACCGCCCCCAACCCCATCCCACCCGTACTACACCCACAACCCGCACCCACCAACCTACCCCCCGTACCAACACCAACAACCGAGCACTACCACCAGCCCGATTCACAGCAGCGCGACAGCTAGCCCGGGGCCAGGCGGAGGCCTGCTCCCCGCGCTGTCACCATACCCACAACAGTACGAGTCGGCGCCGGGACCGGGGCAGGGATCCAGCAAGCGGCGGGCGAGCCCGCCCGACCACCGCCTCGGCAGCCGCGAGTCCACTCGCCGGAGACAGGATCCCTACTCGTCCTCGTCGGCGGCGGCGCGCGACGGACCGACGAGGGATGATTACCCACCACCACCACCTCCGCCCCCCCAACAACAGCCTTCAGCGGCGGGGGGGTTTGGGATGGGGCATGCGCTTCCTGCGTTTGGGATGGGGGCTGCGGTGCCTGCTAGGCGCGGATCGACGAGGCATGGGTTGTGATGTGGTGGGAAGCATTTTCTTGTCTATTTCTTGATTTTCTTTTGTTTTCTGCTTTTTTTTTTGTTTCTTGAAAGAAGAAAATCATGGGTCAAGCATTTACGAGCGATGGGGGTATGGGATCGGGCATGGGACGGGATGGGTATGGGTCTGGGTATGGATGGGTATGGGCATCATGGGATATGATCATACAACGGGATATGACACGGACGGAACGAGTACTTGGAACGACGGCAGGGAGCTGAGGAGCAACAACACCGGCATCCTCACTGTAGCCACGCTTTCTTTCTGTACTCCCCACTTCACTTCACTATCTACTATTCCCTTCCTTACTTACTTACCTACACAGAACCATCCACGACCACGGCGGCGGCGATGGCAACGATCACAAAACGCGGAGGACTAACTTGTACTAACCCTTACTCTCTTTACCTCCATTTCCTTCTTTTTCGGGGAAAACAGTCCCGGTTAGTGGGCGAACAACGCCCCCTTCACTTCTTCTACACACACCTATTACCTTCGCTTCTTCTACACCTGCCATTTCTCTCAATGTCACATCAGGATCTCGCGTTACACGGCGTCTGCTGGGCCAAGTAGTTACAGTACAAGGGGCAAAAAAAAAAAGCAAAGGGCTAGACCGGTTTCCTGTCTGTTGGTCACGGCGAGTGGGCTAAAAAAAGGGGGGCAGCAGGGGCGCCAATGGAGTTTACAGTTTAGCTACTGTTTGGAAGTTTACCAGGGCAGGCGTGGTTCAGGGGCAGAGGCCCGCTTGAGACCGCTTTTGATTTCCTTCTATTGGGTTGGAGTACGAGAGACAAGCAAGGAATCATGTGGGAATTAACAGAACCGATGAGGGCATGGTCGTGTGTGTCCCTCGCAGAGAGCATGGGATGGGAGGCCAATGGGCAACTGACCCAGGGACAGGATAGACAGATTACCGAATGAGATGCAGCGGTCACACAGGAAGCGAAGGGGCGCCTGCATTCGCGAGATGGAATAGACGCGTCGAGAGAAGAGGCAGCCTATATCTGGCTATCCAGTGACAAAACAATGTTTTGCTTCGGCCCAGGATGCTACTTCGGTTTAGGCCTCATTGTTGACCCTATGGGGCGGGCTCATTGGCAGCAACAACCCACCAGTTGTCTCTCTCGTAGCCGCTGGAGACGACAACACCCCCTGCCGCCAACACATCCTCTTCCAGCTCGCCTTTGCGGTAGAGGTGGTAGTAACGCTGAAAGACGGGGTCGGCGTGGCTAGGCGGCGCCTCTGGTTCTGCAGGGCCAGCTGCTGTTGGCGTAGGCGGTGTTTCACCGCCCTTAGCAACGGCATCACCGCCACCAATGGCTTGTTTTTGGGCTTTTTTCTGCGGCTTCTGCTGCTTCGGCTGCTTCTGCTGGGACTTCAAGACCCACGGCACCAACAAATCTTGCTCTCCGCCCTCGTCCCATCCGCGTCGGCTGGTGCTTTGCTCGAGCGCCCAAACGTAGACGAGGACCTGACCCCCTGCCTGACCGACCTCTCCCAACCTGACACATCGCAGCAGCTGCCGGATCGCTTCTTGCCGCCTTGCCCGCGTCGACATGTGGTGTACGACGGCCACGCAGATGACGAAGTCTGCAGCACGCTCACGGAAGGGTAGCGAAAGCCCGTCAGCCACGAGAACGTCAGTGGCTACCGCGGCGCCACCGGCTTCCCCGCCTGTTCCTGCTCCGGCTGCATTACCTTGTTGAGCTTGGAGCCGCATGCAACGGTCCCTGGCAAGCGCGATGAGCGACGGGCTCCGATCGGAGCCCACCATGAGGACACCTGGGTTCACGCCCAGGTATTTGCCATTCCCGCAGCCCACATCGAGCCCAACGGCGCCGGCTGCCCGAGAGCGCAGGAACGATCCCACGGTAGGCCAAGGCTTGTAGCGAGTGGCCGAAAAGTGCGGGGCGATCGCCTCGTAGACACCGTGGACGTGTGTCCGCTCGTAAGCCTCGGCCTCGACCTCGGCCGCTGTTGGCCCAGTCCCTCCCGTCTCGGTACCGGCGGTGGGGGCGGTTGTCAGTTTGGCAACCGCATCAGCCGCCGAGGACGACGGTAGGGCCGATGGCGTGGCGGATGATGAGTCCATGAGCACAATAGCTCGGGCAGCTCCCCTCTCCTGATTCCGGGTCGGGCGGCGGCCGCGGCGAGGTCCTGCTTCCCTGAGGCCCAACTTGGCGCGGCGCACAGCGCGGTGGGCAGATAATCGCGGATCGAGCAAGGGGAAGAAGGGAGGGACACAGCCAAGCGAAGTGAAGATTGGCCACTCCCGTGCTCGTCAAGTCAGGCTGCAGAGTCTCTTCACACACCGCTTGCGTCACAGCTGCCGGCTAGGCGAAGGACGTGGAAGATTTCAGGTTCCTGGTGCGGCTTCTCTCGGTGGTTGCCCTTGACCGCCTGTTCTTTTGTTAGCGCGTGAAAGAGCGGAGAAGGGTGTCTTCGAAATGTGGCGGTCGCAAGGAGACATGAGCTAGGGGACTGCCACGACTTGCAGATATGTACCACGCATATTGCACTTGCCGTAGTGTGTCGATGTGCGCATGTGGGAGTCCCGGAGATGCAAAGACAGGGGGGAGGAAGCCAGTTGCCGACTGCCCGATCCGATCCATCATCCGTTCCGCACCCTGGCCCGCGCAGAAAATCGGATGAGAGGCAATCGCATACTGGGAGGAGTCTGCCAACTGGAGGGGTAAAAAAAAGGATGGAACATCTTGATGCGTGATGTGCAGTTCCGGGCACATGCACACCTGCCCCGGCCGGACAGGGAGCCGTCGGACAGGGCTGAAGGGCGCGAACGGCGGAAGAGGGACAAAAGTACGAAATACATGTAGGTACATACAAAAATAACTAGTGGAAGAGAGCAGCGGAAAAGCTCGCCTACACAGTACATACAGTAGCTTCCTCGGGTAGCCCCCAACCGCTTAAACAAAGCAAAAGATATGACAAGGATACCGAGGTCAGGCGCAGTGCTCGGTCAGTCGTTCAATCGGTTGGGAGTTGGTATAACCTGCGGTTGGGTTAAAGTTAGACGCCGACGAACTGGAGGTTGTGGGCTGAACTGAAACATTTCCGACGTTGATCGTTGGTTGGGTTTGTGAGTGGGTGGATGGATGGTGGGGTAGGTAGGAAGTCAGGCAGTGAGCAACTTCCTCCCCCATCAACCCCTCGTGCCATCCAAGACTTGCTGCCTGCCGGGCTGCCCCCCCAATGCCGCAACAGTTGAAGGAGCAAAGGAACTTGGCGCACAAAATGTGACGAACTTTCCATGAAAATTCTGCAATTACTTGCATCGATTCCCCAATTCCGTCTCTGTGCAGTTCCGCCGATCGTGCTAGTCGATGGCTGAGGTAACCCTACTCTGCATGTCTCGGTCGGACCTGCATCACCGTCATCCGTCTCACCTCCCTGCCCCGGCCGGGCCTTTGCCGATGTCATGATGCAACGGGAAGAAGAACAGGCACGTATTCGTACACGGTACACGGTACTTGAATGCAAAGATAGCGACAAGGACCCAGGGATCCGGGCCCGAGAGAAGCGCCTTGGCAAAAGCACCAAGTTGTCATGCATAGATGACACCCTCCGGTTCTGACCGTGCCCTACAACGACTTATCCGACCCGCTCCTTGTACTCCTGACAAATAACCGCAGTATCCTCGACGGGCCCAGTCCCGAGCCTCTCCTCCGGTGACGGTGAGGGGTGGGCCGAGAGGTGAGAGACAGACCCGAGATCTGGTTGGTCACACCAGCCTCGAGTCACAATCCTCCCAAGCCCAAAAGCCATGCATGTGAATTCCGAAACATTCGGGCATGTCAGCCTCGCAAATCCCAAACCTGGACGTCATTGTCTCTTGGCTAACTAGGTAGCTAACTAGGTAGGTAGTTAGGTTCAAAAAGAAAACAGCAACAGCATCGCCTAAACTTGAACAGAACCAATGCTGACGACGCAACCCTCCGTTAAGGGCTAGCCCATCTTTTCACCCCACTAGTTATCACATTTCGAGCTCACCAATTACCGCTTGCCAGTGTTCAACGGGCTCTGAGCATCGTACACGTCGGTCGTGATGACGTCTGAGTACACGACTTCGCCCTGCCGCAGCGTCTCTTCCATAACCTCCATGATGGCGATGCTCTCGCTCCACGGCAGGGACTTGCTCTCCTTCTGCCCATCACGCAGGCAGCGGGCGCACTCGTCGGCCTCCCAGAACATGCCCTGGCCCCACCCGCTCTCGGGGTCCTTGGGGATCGGGCAGTCAACCACCTGAACCTCGCCAGCACCGTCCTTCTTGATCACCCGATACTGTAGCGGGCAGTACGCCGGGCCCATGACCTGGATCTCACCCGCGGACCCTTGGATGCGAATAGCTGCGCCGCCGCTGTTCTTGCCATCCACATCACTTGATACGCGAAGCGATGTGAGCGCAATGCCGTGGCTCTTGTGCTTGGGGAATTGCACAATGATGCTAGTCGTCTCGTCGGCTCCAGTGTGGTACTTGTTGACGGCGGCCACGACGTTGGGTGCCTCCTTCTGCTCCTCAGGCTGTACGTGGTACAGCGTCTGGAAAACCCAGGTCAGAGCATAGATACCAAGATCCAGGAGGGCACCGCCGGCTAGTGCGGGGTTGACCATGCGGTGCGAATCGTCAAAGTCAATCTTGCCGTCGGCCCCGTCCTTGCCGATTGACAGGTCGGCTAGTCGAGTTCCGCGTTAGCATGGAATTGTAGGACAGGAAAATGGGAGTTTAACTAACCGATGGTGCGATAGACGTTTCCGATAGCCCCCGACGAGATCAGGTTTCTCACCTGGATGCTAAGAGGGAAGTAGCGGGTCCACACGGCCTCCATAAAGAAGACACCCTTAGCCCGCGCAGTATCGACGAGCTTGCGGGCCTGAGATGCCGTTACGGTCAGAGCCTTCTCACAGAGCACATTCTTGCCGGCTTCGAGCGCGAGCATGGCGTTCTGGAAGTGGTGGCTGTGGGGGGTGGCCACGTAGACGATGTCAATGTCGGGGTCGGCCACCAGCTCGTGGTACGACCCGTATGCCTTGGCAGAGCTCGGGGCCTTGACCTTGGTGAGGAAGTCGGCGGCCCTTTCTTCGGAGCTGGAAGAGGCGGCGGCGGCGACCTCATGGCGGACATCGTGCACATCACGAAGGGCCGGGTTGGCAAGGAGGTCCTTGGTGAAGACTGCGAGCATGAAGTCAGCGGCGTGCGGGAAACGGCGCTCAACATGACAGTCCACTTACCCTCAGCAATCCAACCAGTGGCCATGATACCCCACCTCACTGTGTATGGAGTTGACGACGCCATGTCTGCGGTAATGGAATGGCTTGATGCTTGCGTTTCTGAGATGGTGACTGACTTGGAAAGGGGAGGTACGAAGATTCCAAAGTTTCTAGTCAACGTCTCGGCGCCTGCCTCTTAAACCCGAGAGCAAGAGCCTGTTGTCCGGTTTAACCCCCCCCCATCTTCCCCTCCATCGATGGGGCTCATGGCGGGGCAACGACGGCGTTGCGGGTAAATGGCCGAAACAGCCAGAGCTGGAATAGCGGGAGCAACCCCTGAGTCCCCAACTCCTTCCGCGCTAAAACAACCTGGTATCGGCCCGCCACAGGGGGGCTAGAACGAATCATGAAGCGCCGAGACCGCCTCCCCGGGATGTCTCAGCGAACCCCGGGAAGAGCTTCCCCGGGACAGATTGGCGATGTTGCATGGGTCTTGACGACGTCATTCGTGGTTGACAGAATGCCTCTCGTCTTCAATGATTCAGTTATTGTAATGACTATAACCTACTCGTAAGAAACAAATCAGAAGTATCGTCGGTTTCTAGTCTGACAGTCGATATCGAAACAAGACCATCTCTCGAGCTCCTCATCGAGCACGCAGCTTCCCCTCCCCCTCTCTCAAATCCCACCTATCAATGAATTGCATGTTTTGGAGGAGGGGAGCATTTCTGTTCACCTCCGCGAGGCAACCAAACCTCAGCCTCTCCAATACCTGTCATCTACGTAGACTCTTTTCATTTCACCGTGCCCTTCGTCGGCCCTTATCTCCGCTAGAAAGCAAGACCATGTCAGCCCCCGAGTCCACGGCGGAAATGCCGCCTATGATGTACGGCACCGCCTGGAAGAAAGAACGCACCGCCGATCTCGTCTATCAGGCCATCAAGGGCCGGCTTTCGCGGTATCGACACTGCCGCCATGAAGAAGCACTACGACGAGGCCGGTACAGGCGAGGGTATTCGCCGCGCAATCAGCGAGGGCATCTGTTCTCGAAAAGACCTCTTTGTGCGTCCACCCATAACTACCTAGTCATGCCCTTAATTTACCTTCATTTCTAATCACCAACCCCCCCACCACCAGATCCAAACCAAATTCACCCCCCTCGACTCCTCCTCATCCCACTCCCCCACAGACCCCATCCCCACCCAGATCCACGCCTCCCTCACCTCCTCCCTCACCAACCTCTCCACCCCGGACCACCAGCCGCCCTACCTCGACGCCCTCATCCTCCACTCCCCCTTCCCCACCACCCCCGAAACCCTCCAAGCCTGGTCCACCCTATCCCTCTACCTCCCCACCACCACCACCTCCTCCCCCGACCCCGACCCCGACCCCCACCCCTGGCGCGCGGGTCGCGTACTCCGCCTCGGAATCTCCAACGTCACCCAGCCCACCCTGCACGACCCTCTCCTCCTCGTCCGACCTAACGCCGCCTGTTATCATCCGAAACCGCTTCCGCGTCGCCGAACACCATTGGAACGCCTACGTGCGCGTGTGGTGCGCCGCCCACGGGGCTCGCTATCCTGGCTTCTGGACGCTGACGAGCATCGCGTTCGTGTCGTAACAGACTCTGCCAGATGCGTTAGAAAGATTTGTAGCGCCTTTGTCGCGATTCACAAGGGAGTCA